ATATCATGGGACAGTTTCCTATGCCAGTACACATAGAGCTGATCCACTTTTTCATAGTTCTTTTTAATGACCACATAAAAATGGCTATAACTTACAAATAAATAATTTACTAATTTATACCCTACCAGATGGCCATTAATGCTACGTACGCATTTTCGAAAATACAAATGAGTATGGTTAGGCCCCTGTTTTTCCAACCTAAGATATATGCCCAGAAGTAAAATTACTGGGTTAAAGGACATTGCATTAACATTGACAGATATTGCCAAAATACCATTCAAAAGTGTGCCACATTCACGCTCCCAAGAAAGAAGTATGGAGTGGCCGCCCTGCTCACATCCACCAACACTGGTCTTACCAACGCCTTCTCACCCTTATCAATGTTGTAGGTAGAAAATGTGTTCTTTACATTTCTTCAATTCTTAGGTGCAGCATCTTTTCATAATTATAGAATTCTTTATTTGGCCTATTTATGTCCCTTGCAAATTTTTCCACTGAGTTTTTTTAAAATTTGTTTATTCAAGTTATTTGCAAGTTAAGAAAATAAGTTTAAAAAAAAAAAAGAAAATAAGTTTTTTGTCTAATGTCCTGCAAATATTCATTTCTTGTGGGTTGTTTTCTGTCTCTATTAATAATATTGTTTGCTATCATAATTACAAATTTATATATAAATAGATTGGTATTTTTCTTTTAGGCTTTTGGTTTTATGTAATGGTTGTGTCATCTCCACTCTAAGATTATTTTTCAAAATCTACCCACTTTTAAACTCCTTCATTGCTGTATTTTATTCATCTGCAATTTATTTTAATGTAAAGGGAAACGAATACAGATTTATCTTTACTCCAAATAGAAGTTTTCCTAAAATTTGTTGACTAATCCATCTCTTTTTCTCTAATATGAAACATCTTCTTTATCATATAATAAATTCCGAGATTATATACTAAATTTATCATCTGGTTTTGACATCTCTGCTTAGGTGTCATCTCTAAGTATTTTAACTATGTAACTTTATAATACATTTTAACATTTTATTATTTTTGATATCCTCTAGCCTTTTTGGCATATTAATTCTTTAGATTAAACTTTGTATCAACTTCTAAAAAATTTCTTGATATTTTGACTTTCTGTGTTTTAACTTATAAGTTACTGTGCTGTGAATACTGATTTTTACTTACCCAGATGGATGCCATGATATCCCACTTTTGCCTTGAGTTGAGATCACACTAACCTATTAAAAGAAAAAAAATTACTAAATAGTATAAATCTATAAATCAGAACACAGAAATCTCAGTCAGACCTTTAATCTTTAATCCAGAAAAAAGAAGTCACTATTCAAAGAAAACCTCCCTGAGAAAGGGGCTATGTCTCTGACCTCAGCCACCCCATTCGCTAAACATTCACTGAGCACTTACCATTATACAAGGACTGTGAGGACTCTGAGGCAAGAGAGAAGAAATCTCTGTGCTTAAGGGTCTTACAAGTATGTTCTGAAAAGTGAATTTCTGAGGTTTTTTTTTTTTTTTGAGACAGAGCCTCAAGCTGTCACCCTGGGTAGAGTACCGTGGAATCACAGCTCACAGCAACCTCCAACTCCTGGGCTCAAGCGAGTCTCCTGCCTCAGCCTCCCAAGTAGCTGGGACCACAGGTGCCCGCCACAACACCTGGCTATTTTTGGTTGCAGCCGTCATTGTTATTTGGCAGGCCCAGGCTGTATTTGAACCTGCCACCTTAGGTGTATGTGGCTGGCGCCTTAGCTGCTTCAGCCACAGGTGCCTAGCCAATTTCTGAGTTATTTAAAATCCAATAGAGCCATGTCAGTTACGGACTTCTGACCAGCACAGATTACCATTGCAGGGGGCAGCAGCACAGGAAATTGCCCCTCCCCACCAAACCAACATAGATTTTAGATGGTTTCAATTCGATTCCTTGTGCTTCACCATGAAACTTCCATGTCCGTTTTACAAGGCTCCAAGCCCCCATTCTGTGATAAGCAGACACACCTGCTCTTTGAGGACCCAGTTCAGTTCTAGGTAGGGTGCAGAGCTGAGAAGAGCAGGTCTTTGGGAACTCACAGACATTATCATACATGCTGCTGTATCTCCAGGGCTGATTTAGAAATGCAAGTTGCTCCCACCCATCCTGGGAACAAAATATCCTAAAAATTCAATGACAGACTCAGAGCAAAGTTCAACAGGAAATTACAGCATTAATGCTTGGAAATATTTAGCTCTGGTTTCCTCGGCTCTCTGTGGCCTCCAGCAGTCAGTTCTCTAGTCCGAGTCTAACAGGGCACCTCTCTATACAGATCCTCCTCAACTTACAAGGTGGTTACGTTCGGATAAACCCATTGTGAACTGAAAAACTGAAAATCAAACCGTAGTAAGTCAGGGACCATTTGCATACTAAGGATACATAATTCACTAGTTCTAGTTTTGTCTCTTAACGCCAGGCACAATTTCTTTCGGCTTCAGTTTTCTGGTCTGTAAAAAGGGGAGAAGATGGCTGTTGCCAGCATTGAATGACGTGTGTAATGAAAACATGAGCTTGCATCTTGAGTTCTCCCTATGTGGCAGGTAACAGAAAAAGGACTGGCAGGGTCGATTTACAAGGCTGGGGATTGTCATGTTTTTTCACTGGGGCATGAAAGTACTGAGAACATACTTATTGAATGATTAATATTTGCCCCATAATCATCCTGTGCGTTTGGTATCATTAATAGCATCTTCATTTTGTGTATAAAGAAGCTGGGGCAGAGAGGTATAATAACATTCCAAAGTCACAGGGCCAGTGGGGGACCCCTACTCAATCTGGACGGCTGGATCCAAAGGATTGAAGCAGAAGGCTCTGCTTTACCCTAGTGCCTGGCCCACACCCGGCCAAGACTGGTATTCAACACAGGACGTTGCAGTATGATTTGTAAATTATTTGGCAGCATTCCCGACCTATCATTTAACTTGTAAGAACAGGAACTGCTCCACAATTCCTTTTGGCCAAATGTCCCAACACACCCTTTTTCAGAAAGGATTCCAGCCGTCTGCATCGTTTCCTTTACTTCCTCCCTACTGTTACCTCTAAACAGGTTTCTCTCCACAACCTCACAGCTC